GACCCATAGCTACCTCGTATAGGGTTTCCAAGGAACAGCTGGTGAGCTTGAACCAGTGACTTTGTGGTTCAAACTGGCTTTGCAGTCAAGCGCATTAGCTCACAGCACCACACAAGGACTCCACTATTGGGTGTAATGTCATTTAAAATTTAAAACTTATAATTAAAATTTCAGAATTAAATACTTAGATCTGTAATTGATCTACTCTGTGTAAGATCATTTAAGTAAAACTTAATCTATTTTAAAAAACCTAATGGGAATATCACATCTGCCATTTGCCTCATCACGTTCTACTGGAGACATAGAACTTGTTGCCATATAATTTTCTGATTTTATATATGATTGGATTCGACCCCAGAGAGGGTTGGTATCATTTGCTGTGGTATAAGTTACAAGAATCTGAAGAGGAAAATGAGCCATTCAGAGATATTTTTAATTCTTCTGTATAGACTTGCTTATATTTAAAAAGGAAAGAAAGAAATCTATATTCGGTGTAGGATTAGGGCGGAAAAGAACCCTATATATTTTCATTTTGATTTTTAAACATTGATTCACTGACTGATCTACTTTTTTTGATTTATAGCTCAGGTGGTATATATTAATTTCACTAAACAGTTCAATTTTAATTTTATTTAATTAGAAAAGATTTTCACATTTCTGTAGGATGACAGATGTGTGCCTCGTTGAGAGCCAGAATTTACATAAACTATTAGTGTACCTGATCAATTGTGAGTTACATTGTACTATGGCTTCTGTAGGGACAAGAAACAAAACAAAGTTTCATTGTTATGTTTTTCTGTGTTGCCTTTCTTGAAGCATTTACTAAGAGCAATCTTTTCATCCTTCAGTTAAATAGATACTCTTGTATAAATGGAATTTTGTGGTTTATCTTCACTGGTAGTCTAGCCAAAACGTGTAGTCATTTATTTAGATCATAAAGTAATTTTGAGGTGAGTGCTCGGGAGCAGGGACGAGGGCTGCTATTCAGCAGGACACCTTTGTAAAACTGATCTTGGAAGTAGAGTTTACGTGTATGAAAAGAATATTTATAATATGCTGAAGGGAAATGAAATAAGCCCACATCATTTTAAAAATCGAGTGGTCCCTAACACACCTTGTTTCTATACAATCTCCAGTGAATTCTAATTAAAGTAGGTAAGAATGCATTAAAATCTGTTAACATGATAAGTATCATTTTAACTTAATAGCTTATATGTTTATTAAAGCCTATACTTAAAGTTATTTTGAAGTTTTGGCAGATGCGTATCATCTCCTTAGTTTTTAATAGATGTGGTGTGCAGAAGGATTTGGAGAAAACCCTGTGAGTCTACGTGGTGAAACATACTATGGGATGTTTCCTCCCTCATAAAGCACTCATTTGCAACTACAAATTGAGGTTCTCAATTAATTGGTGACTGACAACAGAAAGTACATTTAGAGAGAATATTAAAAAGAAAAAAGATTGCTGTCAAATCTACTCCAGCCCCTGGTGATACTATGTGCATAGAGTAAAATTACATTCCATTGGGTTTTCAATGACTCATTTTTGGGCTCTAGATCACCAGCCTTTTCTTCTGAGCACCTCTGGGTGGATATGGATTTCACATGTTAGGGCAATAGCTGAGCATGTTAACCATTTGCACACCAGGGTTTCCTTTATGTGAGGACTCGACTTCATGAATGCAAACAAAATGTGCTTAAATATGTCTCTGTTCTCAGTGGGCTGCAGACATGTTCACTCAGTAATACACTTGTCTTAGTCTTCTTAGGGTGCCTTCAACAAAAGAGGGCAATCAAAACAGTAGCTTCTGGGGGATCTGCTGGGTCAGAGAGATCAATTCAGAAAGGTATGGCACTGTTTTTTTGTATTCCAAAGGAGTAATCTTGATAGATTTTCTTAAAAGGGACAGAACAAACATGATTTGAGTCCATAAAAGTTGCCCAAACTGCCATTTTGGTGTAATTTTAAGAGCACGGAATTGTTCAGGAAAGCTTTAGAGAGATGGAAACACCATCTTCTAGAAGTGTATAGACCTAGACAGAGGTATGTTGAGAAACAATAACTTCACATTTTGATATTCTTGTTTAGTAAATAAATGTTTTGTTATTTTGTACCACCACTTGGTGATTTACCCTCATATATGATGTTGGACCTCGCCATATGGAACACATAGAAATCAAATAGACTACATCTGTGGAAAGAGAAGATGGAAAAGCTCCAT